TTATCATATGCCTTATGACTTCATCTCTTCTGTGAGAATAGGTTTAGCGTACGCTTGATGCCTTCATTGTAGAGGTTGATCTGATTGATGGACTGCTTCTTGGAGCCACAAGAGTGGATCGGGATTCATTTATATCCAATGGAGGAACAAGAGGAGTTCCAAGAGGAGTAAGAAGCCTGTTACATATAAGGGTCGTAAGCATAGGCAGAGACAAATAAAATGTCCCGTTATTGCTTCATGTAATTCAAATCCAATATAGACTTTTTGGGTGCAGCTAAATATTGTTGGATTATGACTACTAGAATTGGTTATTTTTGAACTATCATAATTAATTCTAAATGCATTAAATGAGCAGAAAAAAGGTGCACATGCATTTTCATTTCAATTATCTCCACATACAAAAAAAGGTAACACTAAAAAGTCTAAAACTACATTCTTAGTTAGATACTCCGATTAACATAAAAGGAACAAGTTTGATATTGATATGATGCAATTGTCCCAACCATCTGAGGGGAACTACAATATTAATTCATGCGAAAGTTGTCTTTTTAGGAAAACTGCGAAACCACAAAACTGAATATTGGTTTCCTAATTCTCTTTAGAAACTAAGCAAACCTAGAATTCATCCAGCAATAAATGAAAACGAAAAAAATATAACTTATATAGGATCGCATTTTTGTCCAACTTAAGATTATTGAACCAATTAATGTAAAACAAATTTCTGGTAGGAAAATATTTTCAGGAATTACCAATCGTAGTCATGCTTTCCGCCATCAGTTGATAACAATAGATCATCCAGTCCACTTCTCCCCTGTTTTGCTAATTCAATTGAGAGTCTCCCCAATTTCTCTGATACTAAATTCGCGAATCATCAAATTCAGAAAAATATTTAGGCACTACAAGTGAATTCCTCCAGACCTCGGCTCATACTATCTCTTTGAACTACAACTTCAAGTGAATCATCCCCTAACAAGATTACAGACCCTGCCTCCATAATATCATCTTCACTTGATCGAAAAGACATATGCTCCAGTTCAAAAGGCTGCCTATTCTGAACAAGCAAGTGCTTAAACTCCTCTTCAAGCCTTGCCATAGCCATCTGAAAAACATCATGAGCCCTACGCAGAAGTGTCGTGTCTTCACTACCATTATTTAAGCTCAATCTACTCTCAGTCAACTTTCGAGCTTCGTCCACAGCCTTCTAATACTCATAAGCTTCTTCTGGGCCACAATCCCATATAATCGCCTGATCCCTCTCCCAACTCAAAACCTTATCTTGTATCAAATCAAGCTGCTGCTCAATCTCATTAAGTCCATCATTTTCTTTCACTCCTTCATCTTTCTGTTCCTTCTCTCTAGTTATATCACACAACTGCATGCATAGATTCGACAAAATTTTCTTAGAATCATCCATCAAATTCTTCTTCATTTCAAGAGGTTTCATGATTTGCTTCGCAGCAGCTACCAGTTCTTCTTCTGTTTCCATCTTTGTGAAGGTAGTTTTACAGTCTCTCATATCATCAAACAATCCAAATTCAAGAAATCTCACAAATCCAAATATAAATTTTGAAATTACTAGACTAAAAGTCACCCCTTTTTTCTCAATAAAACAAAAGCACATTCACCCACAAAACTAATTAAATGCAAACAAAAAAGAAACATATAATAATCCTAAGCAATTTTGCAAAAACGAGCAGAGTAAAATAAATTCAATATGGGCCAGCAACATAAGGATCTTCACAAGAAAGAAGTACATACATATGTTTTAAGTATATTATTAAGTTGCTGCAAAAATCAAGGGAAAAAAATTAAAATATTGTTATACCCAGAACAAAATTCATAAAATTGAATTAAAAAANNNNAATTCATAAAATTGAATTAAAAAAACGCAGAAACACAGTCTACTTTGTAACTTAAATAGTTGTTGGAAGTGAACAGGGGAAACTATGACCAACCCTATTGAAGCAGTGCCGCCAAATCAGCCGCTACGTCGAGTGACTGCAATGCCACCAAATCCTCCACTGACACCCCAATCTTAGTGGACAGTGGCGGTATATCAGGTGCCGTTAGCTGCAGCTGGGTAGTGATGCTTCTGGGCTCTAGCCATGGCAGTGATAGCAGGACGGAGGGAGTGGGATTGGAAGATAGAGAAGGAAGAGAATTGGAAGAGAGAAGGGAGAGATGGGTTTGGAGCGTTTCCTGTGTTTTCCAATTGTCTGGGTGTTTTGTATCCATTTTCTTCACAAATTTTTTTTTTGTTTTCGAAAATCCGTTTTCGAAAATGACAAAGAGAACATGTTTTCACCGTTTTGAAAAATCGAAAATAGAAAACAGCTTGAAATAACAAAGAGAACACCCCCTAAGTGCTTGAATCCCACAAACAGCTATTCTGTGTTAATTATGATCAATTTTGTGTCCTTTCGTGACCGATTGTGCCCTTTTATGACCGATTGTGACTCGTTGTGATCGATTGTGCCCTTTTGTGACCGATTGTGACTCGTTGTGACCAATTGTGACTAATTGTGACAAAAAAATTCTGAGAAAATTTGGAAGTTGGCAGTTGGAACGGGCGTCGGGGTGATCGTCGGAATAGCGTCATAGTGATCGCCAGAGAGTCACCGGAGTAATAGTCGGAACAGTCCCCGGAGCGTCGCTTGAGTGTCGCTGGACCATCGCCGGAGCGGTGCCGGAGATGGAAGGAAGGTGGTGTAGTGAGGTGATGGGGGTGGGTGAGGTGTCATGGGGTGTAAATAATTAATCTATATTATATTTTATTTTAATATTTAATAAATTTATTTACTACATGATTTTTGAAATATTTTAA